CAACAAAACCCCAACCACCCCCAAGCAGCCCCCAGCAAAGACAAAAACAAACAAAAAAAAGACGAACCCCGCAAACAAAAACCGAGGTGAATGCCAAGGCCACAGCAGACATAAAGGAAAAGTGGCAGGCGGTCACAAGGGAAGGAACGGATCAACGATGAACAACAATGAAGAAAACAAAAGCGACCGGGAGGAAAGGAAATCAAACACCCCGCAAAGAAAACATCGCAAGACCCCAAAAAAGAAACGCCCAGCCCAGCCACGCACACAAACCGGCCAGCGACACACCACGGACCCCCAGAAAAGGAAAATCACCCTACCAACTCGGCAAAAGAAAAACAAGGAAAAACAGAAAAGAAAAACAGAAAAAAAAGAAACGACAGCCAGCTCACAGCAAAGACAGGGCACCTACACCTATCAAAAAAACCCCAAACAACAATAATGCAAATAACTAACACGAAGAGCATAACGACCACCAAGAACCAAAAAAAGGAAAAGGGGGGGGGGGGGGGGCAGAAACTGAAAGGAGCGGTGAAAATCACCTTCAACCCTCAAGTTCACTTTACCACCATCTGACACTCGCGATCTGCTTCAAGAAAAGAAAAAATAAAAATTGCCAAGGATTATCATGGAAGTGGTTTCAAGAAGCACTAACACCGTTTACCTAGAACTTCAGACACGGAAAACTTACAAATAAAAATCTTAACTGTAAAAAACTGACTTATCTTTCAGTTGCTCAGGTCGCAGGTTAGAAAGCCACAACATATTTCCCCGATTCCCGGTGATCGCAATAACGAATTTCCCAGCAAGGGAAACCAAAAAAACAATAACTTAATACAGCCAACATCCCTTCCCCAGCGATACGTACACGACGGTTCGCTCGTACAGTAAAAACATGCGGCCGAAAGCAAGGCGATTCCCGCAGCCAGTAATGATAAATAAAAATAGAAAAAGCAGGGGGTAAGGAGTGGGGATGTGTGCGGACGTACCTGCTGCGCGCCGGGGCGCTTGCTGTTTCCTCCGCGGCATGCTTGTTTTCGGATCTCTGAAGAGTTTTCTTTTTTAGCTCCGGAGATCCTGAGCTGCTCCGCTCCTCTTTGATTTCTGCGCTTTCATACACGATAAACCCGAAGGCGCTTTTGGGGAGGTTTGAAATAGATCGGCAGTTTTCAAAAAAAAAAAAAAAGATAGTGGAGAAAAAAGGACAGATATGAAGAAAAGAGCGGATTTCTTCCCCCCCCCCAACCTCGACTCTGATATCACAGTGGGCAGACGAGCAGTAACAGTGGAGGGGAAGAAAAGAAAAAACAAAAAAAAAAAAAAACCTTGAGCCTCAGTGCGATCCTCACTCCTCGGTGGGAGCTGCAACAGGCAAGCTTAAAGGAAAACGAGATGATCGCGTCACTCAAAGTCCGCAAACAGGGGCAAACATCAAACACTGTCACGTTAACTCCTTCACCCCGAAACGGTCCGCTAGCAAAACCGTCAAGGGGGGCACCATGCAATCCTTCCAAACCGCGGGAATAACGCGGAATAACAGCAACTACTTCGCTAACTATGTGGACAAAAACCGTCTTATTATTGCTGCGCGTGGCTCTCAGAGAAATCCGTTAAATCTGGAAATTTTCGTTTATCCCATTCACGAAAGACCTTAAAATAAGAATAAATCAATGCATATCTATGTAAAAATGTAAATAAAAGTACATGCACCGTTTATGTAAAGTGTAAATTATAGTAATAATAAGAAAAAATATTATTCATAAAAGAAAAGTACAATACACACAATTATAATATTATTAGTATTACAAGAATACTATGCTTACTTAATCGGTCGTTTATCTGCAGTATCCATTTAGAAATGGTCCCAGAATTAAAAAGCAATTGAAAATGTTGCCGGATAGGATCTATACTTTTCTAATACCATTGTGTAAATATCTTGCCGAATGATTCCACGCGTCCTCCGACTTCAACACGTTTTTTTTTTTCCTGAGTCCTTTTCAGGTGCGCGGGAGAAAAGACAGATTTTGCAGGAAATGGGTGGAATTGTCTCTCACGCACTCATTTAGGTTGATATTTTTTCCAAAGGGATGCACTAAATCCATCGAGAGCGGCGAGAATCGATGAGATACGTGCTTGATTGGGTGTCCCTTGTTGTAATAATGTACATCAGAAGGAGGGGATGGACTCTTACTGTGTTTCAGCTGCTCTTTGAACATGGATCAGCAGCTATTGCCAAACACTTTCTTGGCTGCTAATCACACTTTTCTCCTTCTTTGTGTGACTCACAGTAGGTATTTAAGATAGCAGCTGCAAATAAAAAGCTCCTTCCTTGCCTTCTTCATTTCAAACCAGTAAAGCACAAATTGCGTTGCAATTATCTCCTTTTTTTCTTATTACAGAGGGGGAACGCGGTCTTACTTTTTAACGGTAAGATCAAAATTCTCCACGTGTCCCATCCTGAAGATTACGGGACCATTCGAAGTGCTTCACAGTTTAATGCAATGTTTAGATGTGTATGTAATCCACCGCTTCTTGTTTTCCTTTTCTAATCAAGTGACAGGAAAATCTAAATACCTGCCTTTTTAAAGAAAAATTGATAAATTGTCCGTATTTTTCAGATTTCGGCTTTAGGATCAAAACGCAATATCGCCCGATATCTGCTGGAAACGCTGCAGCGAAGGGGCAAAAAATATTACTTGAAAACAAGAAAATGGTGAGTTGTCAAATACCTACTCTGCTGCCAAATGTATTCAATTCCGTGTCAGTGCCATGCTTGTGGTCTCTTCTTTCACTCGCTTATCTGGGTACAGGAGGAACCAAACACAGGAAAGTGATACGGAGCTTCTCGAAGCGAGCCGAGTATCCGATCTGTGTGCCAAGCTTGCGTGGGAATGAAAAAAGAGCTGACTTTTTACTGATTCGCAATTTTTAAATCCAATCTCGTCGCAACAGCATCGCATTCCGTTAGATCCGCCCAAACATCTGTCCGTCTAACCGTTAGCGCATCCATCAGTGTCACGATCGCTGCTTATTGCGAGGTCTGTAATACCCCAGACATAACTGAGACGGAGAGCGTCCATATATAATCGTTGCGAACCAGTTTAAGATCTATGAAAGCCCATATGCGTAGTAGGCTATTAGGAAATGGGGTATAGTTCAGGAACGTTTTTCCTGAACTATAAGTGGAAAGGTTGATCGTCGCAGTCCTAAAAAACTTAGTTTTACCAGAGAACGTTTTTCCTGTCTGTCTGCGGTCTCTGTGATATTTTAGATGAACTTACATATATTGCTTCATATAGAGTTATACGGAGTTATGTTTTCCGTCTACGCACTGAACGAGGTATATTATTGAACAGATTCTCTACGCATGCGACCCACAGATGTATGTTATGCACACAGATAATAGCAAAGAATTACATCTTATTGATTATGATTACACCCTATATTTACGCATCCTTTATTGTACCGGCATAAATCAATTTTAATAGCACACCGCATCTACTGGGAAAATGTACAAAAATCAAGTAAATACATTTAAAAAAACGCTGTAACTAGACTTTTACTTGGTGGATACAGTGTGAGAGCGTCGAAGTCCCGATTCCATCCAGCCGCTGACGCGTGCTATTACTTTTTCTAGCAAACAAGCGCCAATCTCTTCTCATGAAATACAGGGAAGGACAATAATAAGCTTTTGCATAAAGGCTGTCGTTGATGCTACTTAATGCTGCATTGTTAGTTAATATGCGGTGCGTGTGCCTATTAATATACGTGTGCCATAATAAGCAGAATACACAGAGACGGGCAAGAGAGACATATTAATACATTGTTTGTAGTCACTTACTAATCTTAAAAAGAAAACTGCGCAGTCCTGTTGATTTGCTGACGATGGGGATTTTACTCCAAAGTAGAATTTGTCAGTATGTGCGTATGTCTGCATGTGTATTGGTGCGGAACTGACAAAAGTGGAAAGTTTGATTCATAAAGACTGGGCTTTTGTCAAATAGAAAATATTGCAAGTCTCAGGTTTGTTCAGGTAAGTTCTTTTAAAACAAGCCTGAAATAAGACACTGGTATTATTATTATTATTATTATTATTATTATTATTATAGTACTAAAGTTATAGAAAATCACAATTCGAACTATGAATAACGTAATTTCACTTCAAATTCACTGCACTTTGAATGGGTGGTTGAGATGTGCCGTATAATTAGTACCCTTATTTTAATTACGTGCATTGAGGTCATATCCTGTACTGTATATGTGATTGTAAATTGCTGTTGTACTGTAAATTACATTCGACCTTATTTGCCATTAAGACACAAATGGGAATATACTGCCGTGACAACCAAAATGCTGTAGGTATAAGAAGCGTGGAACTCTACCTCTGTAGAGTTTTTAACTTTTAGGAACACTAACACCAAAATTCATTTTATTTTGTTAATGTATTTATTTGTTTGTACATGCGTTTCTGAAGCAGTACAGTACAGTTACGAAAGATTTACTGTATTGTTACATGTATGTCTTGTATGTTTAGTGTTCATTTGCATATGTTTATATGTTTTAAGTTCCCTCTATATAAATACTATCATGCTTGGAGAGCCTTCAAATTGCTCATGCATATTCAAAGAAAATCTATCATGATATTACAATTCTACGGTGCCAGATAGGGAGATTCTTTAATTCATGAAATCAGAAAAAGGCAGCATTCGTTATGTTGACTATTTGCTCTTATTCAGCCGATACAACACTAACTGCTTGGTGCACTTAATAATAATAATAATAATAATGGCCAACGCTATTAAGGAGATCACAAATCTTGAAAAACTAATTCCCACAGAATTACTGTTCTTCATGTTATTTTATATCTTGTATACGGATGTTATTATCTTCCATGTTTTGATTAGAAAGTGAAACTGTTAATGCAATTATTGCATTCTTTCACCTAAGAGGGCGAGAGTGATGGGGTGGGGGGGAGTGAGGCCAGAGAGAGAGAGAGAGAGAGGAGGGGAGAGGAGGCGAACTGATTTGGGGTAACCAGCATTTTCCTTGTCAATACCGTGCGATCGCTGCGTTATTCTTAACTTGAGATGCTTCAGTTGCAGATGAAATTGCAGATAATACTAATGTTGTAGAAATACATGAATGTTCCTGGTTAATGTTTTAGTTAACGATTATTAGTGAAGTTGTACTTATACAACTTTCCAGAGGATTTTTAATGGCAGATAGTTTTCATAATATCTATTTATTTTTTTAACCTCTGTTAAAGGCTAAACATTTATACTGGATCGATATACGGTGTCTGGTAAAATGCGGTAATGATCGCTTATAGTCAGCTTCTTTATCCTTAAATTCTTCCTACTTTTTCGAAACTGCTAGAATTTGTATTTGTTTTTTTGTTGTTTTTATTTTGGCAATAGATGGCTTGAGCATTTTTAGTGTAATTTAGATGTTTATTTCATTTATATTTTACACAATCTCAAGTAATATATAGACCAATATTTAGACGAAATTGCTTTTAAATTATAGTCGTACAGTTGTAATTTCATACCACCAAAATTTACAGTAATCAATTTCTAATAACTGTATTAATTGAAATGTTTTGCTGTACTTTTAAAATCCCCGTTTATGCAAAGTTTCACTTCACGGCACTGCCGTATCTAACATGGCATTAGTATCACCTTTTAATCTAAAACACTTTTTAACTACGCGCTGTAAATGTTAAACAAAAGCAAAGCTAAACAAGTTGTTTTGGTCTCCAGTGTTTCCTTGTCTGTCTTTTGCATTTAATTTTTTTACACACATGTAGCATATTCTTCATGCTCAAACCTGAAAATGACATATGCCAATGTTAACTAAATCAATCAGTATTATTTACCATTTGAAACATTATTATCATTATTATTATCATCATCACTATTATTATTATTATTATTATTATAGGCTAATACCAATAATAATGATAATCGCACTAGTGAAGGAAATCCACATCTTCGGGACACTCAAAGCTGTCTAGTTTAATAGCCTACTGCCTAATCTTTATACTTGGTTAATTCCGTTATCATCCTATCGTTACAGTAGAGGCCAATGCGAAGAACAGAACGCAATAAGTCCGCACTGAAAGGTCCCTTGTGTTGAGTGCCCCTTTTTTCTTTATTATGGTTAATATGATCATAAGTATGTGGGATTTCCAGAAAGATACGCGGGTTTTGTTTTGCCTTTATGTATGTCACATAACTACCCTCTGCATTAGTACCGACTGATAACTTTAGACTATCAATTGAGCAGATAAGAACTAGGAATAGTTCAATGGTTAATGCAGGGTGCAAACAGGGTTCAGCAAAGCGTAAATTAGGGTCTAACTGAATAGCTCGTCCATATTTAACAAGCAGGGAGTAACATTTAGGCCTACTTAGGGTATGAGATCCATACATTGATCATTTATTCTTATTGCAACTGAAAACAATCCGTATTAAACTGTGTTAAGTATGACTCCTAAACACAAGATCCCCCCCAAAACTCTTCAAATTTAAATTGTACGTGATTATTATTTAGATGTAGACACGCATTGATAAGACCGTTTAAGGTATACTTTTGTGATGTGTTGCAAAATAGTTTTTCAATCATGAATAACTTAGATTGCATTGCAAGTACAAGATGCACGTGTGGTCTTTTGTATCTAACCTACTTCAATTTGATTTGCCCTAAAGTAATTATGTTAATCCATCCAACCATTTTTAGTAAGCGCTTGTTCTATTCAGGGTCGCGAGAAGTAGTTTTGTCATATGTTTCAAAACAATAAATGCCATGTAAATTAATGGACAAATAACTATAGGCTAATAAAGTTTTATGATCTCGTGATTAAATGCGTATAGCGAGTAACCGAAAATTTGCACTGAAGTTGGATGGAAGTTGCTGTTGAGTCTGAAGTGTCATTGTAAATGATTTGTTAGTCATCGTTTACCGGATCATTATATAACATTATGCATACGTTTCTGTTTCTTTGTTTATTTATGAATAATTACAATTGTTGAAATCGATGGATTCGCGCTGCGACTAATTCGCCATGGAGTTGAATGAAGCACCTGAATGTGATTCGTTATAGACAAACGCACCAAGCAACACCTGGTGGAAGCGATATGGGTAATTGTAGCCCCCCCTTATGGACTACAGTTTAAAAGTGGCATTTTGGAGGCATGTTGGTTTTACACTTTGACCGACTGTAGCATGTTTGTAGCCGATTATAGCAGCTTGGACGTTTAGGGGCGACGCAAACGCTTCGGGTGATTTAATATGAGGGAGTAGACTAGAGGGCGACAATAAGATTGGTCAATGTTTAGATTCACTAAATGCTATGTAGATTTACTTCTCAGTTTTAACTGTAGGCAGTCTTACTTTAAGACTGATTTTTGGACTTTAAGGCCACTTATAGTGGTAACCACACCCGTCAGCATAAATATAGGCAGTAACCTATAAGGAAATGGTAACAGAGCAGCCGATATTGGCGCTGCCAATTGTTTCACAGAATTTCAGACTCCTGTCTAGCAATAGCTGACATACTGAAAGATCTTATAACTTGTTTTAAATATTCTGTGCAGCTGCTTTCTTTTCTCATCTAAGCTGATATACCAGTAAGAGAACTGGTAGAGTACAGACGTCCTACAACCCCTGAAACCAGATGAACATTCTCTTGGAGTCTTATTGGAAATTTATATGGCAGAAGGAAGGAGGTTCTGTTATGGTCTGATTCTCATGTTTGCATTTCATTGAAACTGCTATTAAGGAATGTACAGTTAAGCATATATAAGCATATATTACATAACCAGATTGAACTGAGAGCTTGAATGAAGACCCCTTATTCAACACATGACCAGGTATTATTGAGTATGCGTGCATGCATGCAGACATTTGCCATTTCACAGCGAATGATTCAGCCTAAGTAACATCCAGTTCCTCAGACACTTCCCAGGGATGCATGTGTAACAGTACCAAGGCCACACTACAGGACATTAAACATCAATATGCACCCTGAGTTTGTACATCATTTTGCTCGGTGGCTAGATAGCAGGGTCGAGAGACCAAGTACTGACCATCACAATCTCTGTATGTGTTTCTAGGTCTTGAGCTCCTTAGTCTAAAATCATTTGGGAGTGTAAATGAAGCCCTGTGTGACGTGCACCATGCATCACTGTCTGCAGCATTTATTTCACAATTAAAGTTCGATGTTCAAAGTTACAAAAATGCACCCAGCTCGTCAGAAATTAACGTAGATGTGATGTTTTGTATTGCAGAAGTTAGTCAAAAAAAAATCAGAGATTTAATTGCAATTTTCTCTGTTTCTTTCAGGAATAACACTAAATGACGAGATGGCTACTTGTATAAGAACTCTTCAAAGTAACAGAAAAAAACAGCCACTGTAAAAATGAGGAAAGGGAGAAGTGTCAATATTTATTACATTAATATTATGGTGAGGTTAATCCTATGAGCAATAGTTTGCATGTGTGTGTATGCGTGTGTGTGTGTGTGTGTGTGTGTTTTTTAATTCTATAATGAAGTTATGTACTAAAAGAAAATGTTTAAAAGACCAAAAAAAAAAGCTTTTGTAACTGGGTGGTAGGGTCAAGTATGCTCATATGAGTGCAGTATAGATTGTATAGAAGGGGTACATGTTGCAGAGAAGAAGGGATTTGTGGTACATCTCATATCGCTGGTATTACCACTAATGAACAGCAGCTGTGAGTAAAGATTCCGCTGCTCATATATCATTCAGGTCTGAACCACCAAGACTGGAAGTAATGTTTTCATCAAGAAGAACCTGACAACAGGAAAATAGCAGAAACATTCATAATGCAAGCATTTTTTTTTCTGTTATGAAATGGATAGATCAGTTTGCCTTCTGAGCTCCAAACCTTTTTCCCCAACATGAGATGCTTGAGTTTATGAAGAGTAACTATCATTATACTATTAGCTGTTATTACACATTTATGACTTTCCAAAACCGATGCCTGAGTGGAAGTGTAGACTCAGTGGAAATGTGTTATAATTTAATTTTCCATTGTCAACATTTTTAAACAGTTCCCCGCTAAAACAATGAGAGTGATCATTGTTGAGGAAGGCATCTGCATGGAGAGTGGAAGAATCTACAATATTGATAATAAAAAACAGAAAGAAACAACAGTAATCATATTTAGAACAATGGACATTAACTGATCTTGAGGACTAAAACAAATAAAGTTGAGAAGGGAAAACAAACGACATGTAGGACAGAAGTGTACATGAGATACTGGCAGCAGTGGTGGAGTCCTGGTCGGGCTCAGGGAGGTTTTTACTGTTCATGATACGTAAAGGAATTTCTCAGCAAAGCCTAAGAGAAGAGCATCATACAGAAGGTAGGTATCTTAGTTCCCCCATCAGTCTGCGTTCTTAAGAGTGATGTAACAATAATTTATCTGATTATGGGATATGCTGCCAAGTGCAAGACTCTCATTATAAAGGGGTACAATTTGGCATCATAGAACCATTTACAACAGGCAAAAATGTCATCTGCTCTCAAAATGATAAGACGCTAAACAAACGTCGAGTGATGTGTTATGACACTGAAGGCTTTTCACTGCATCTTCCCCTCCAGCTCCTTGCTTCTGATCTTACTGTTGCTTTAAAAAGACTCAGCTGCTCATTCTAATGAGGATGTCAAATGCAGCTCTAAATACATAGATTGAAACATCATTTACAAGAATGTATAAAAGATATAATGAATAATAAACCTTTCTTTTGTTTTCAGTCCATCTCTGTTCTCAGAAGCTGATTAAATAAGTAAAACGGAAGAAATTGTCCGACCGCTTCACAAAGTGCATTTTGACACTGCCAACTCTTGACACAACAGTGTGTGTTGTCATAAAAGTATGGTAAACCTTTTTAAATTTTAAGCAAACCTATTTTTTTATGGTGCCATCGGATTACCTAGGGAAAAAATAGTCACAAGTTTTCTCTGCAGGTTTATCAGGGTTGCCTAAGGTAGTGCAACTCAAAACAGAATGTGTTTGTTATGCTGTCATGCTTGCTTCTTGTCTCACTTTAAATAAGTTAGGCTTGATTTCATGTCGGTGCTGCCTTCTGAGTTATTCATGCATTGTGTTTAGTGCTCTACCCAAATTTACATTTTTGCCCACCTCCCATCCTAAAATGCATCATCTATAAAAATTAGTGAGTAATAAAGACATTATTTAAACTTAGGACCCCAAATCAAGACGTGTATCTAACAGACGCAGATTTTAAAATTATTTGGATTTATAACCTCAAATCAAGCTATATAATTAATGCAGATACAGTTCCTGAAGTCATGGTCATTGAAGCACTTGCATCAAATAACTAGAATATATAAATCTGAATGTATATGTATTGAACATTAACTAAAATTGTACAGAAATCTTACCGAAGATGACTAATATCACGTTAAATGAGAAATTACATAGAAATGGACACAGTATTAATGAAGGGGGGCACATGCAAGCTATGTGTGGTTTGACATTCTAAATAGCATCCAAGCCAAATAGTTTGGGATATTAATAGAAGTAATAATAATAAAGTAACAGGGGTTTTGTTCGTCTTCTGGATATAGGTTTATATTAATGATGGGATAAAGATCAAAAGCTCGAGAGTTCAGGGCAAACGCAGGCTTGTGTGACAGTCCTGTGAAAGCTGGCACACCATTCAAGCAGAAATCTGTCGACCATGGTTCAGATGCATCGCGTGGTATTAAGCCGACCTGGAGGCTCAAACAAGCACGTGGTTCTGTATAGCTCCGAGAGTGCGTGTCCTGAGGCCTTGCAGTCGTCTCTGCAACCCAGTGATTACTGGGCAGAGTGAGGGAGAGATGTGATCAAACCTGACAAATTTTCAGCGTGGCCTCTATGTTTTCTGTCTGTCCAGATTATTAATAATACTCATCGGCAGATACATACTTAATCTCCCCAGAAATCTGTTTCATATCTAATTTAGAGGGAAATGTATTTGGAGAATAGGAAATGCTTTCCGAATCGCATCATTTTTCCTCTGTATAATCTTTTCTTTTGCATCACAATTTTTCTTCTTTAAATTCAATATTATATTAGCTTTTGTGTTTTATCAATGCCTTAGAGCTGATATTTCACAAATGTTTTCTAATCTTTATCTGTAAATACTTTGACACCAATGTGACAAACCAAATTTTAAAAGGAGGCTTGATTGCTAAGTTATCTTATTAAGTCTGTGTTTTTCTTTTGTCGTTCATGGATAATCAGCTCATCTGGGGGTAAGTCAGAGAACATAAGAACATAAAAATCTCTGATCTTAAAAGAGTCACTAATATATTCTCGTACTGGGTTGGTGTGTGTCACTTTGTGTGTGTGTGTGTTTGTGTGTGTCTCAGAGCACAATTGAAAAAGGGAAGTGAGGAGATCAGAGGTCAAAAACACCTACTGAGGGTCAATAAGGAGGCTGATGAGCTGAACAGTGACCTGGGGAGGAGCAAAGGCACTCTGGGGAGGAGCAAAGGCAGTCTGGGGAGGAGCAAAGGCACTCTGGGGAGGAGCAAAGGCANCTGGGGAGGAGCAAAGGCACTCTGGGGAGGAGCAAAGGCAGTCTGGGGAGGAGCAAAGGCACTCTGGGGAGGAGCAAAGGCACTCTGGGGATCTCCAAGGAGTGTCTGCATGAGCACAGCGAGGCGCGACTGAGATGGGAGTTTACTTTGCAGAGGAAATCAACTGTCACAATGATCTCGCCTTATACATCATGACATGCACAGTATAACAATGAAACATTTCTATATATTGTACTCTTTGGTTTTTATTTTTAGCATTCTAAATTGGTAAAGGGACTTAGTCAATGAAGCACCAGGCAAGAAGATGTCACAGTAAGTGTCAGAGAGTTTCACAGACAGTACAGAAGTATGATGAGTCAGTAATGGCTGCAGGTATAATTTCATCATATGTTGCCCCCTCTCTTGATTGGAGGAGGCGGACATCTCACTCAGCTTCTGCCTTAAAAACAATGTCATAGAACTTTCTCAGTTCTCCCAGCTGTTAGCTGTTCATGGGCAAGTACATGACAGGTAAGGAGGAGGTACATAAGAAATACATTACACTGCCTTCTTTGTTTTCTACAGCTTTTCAGATGCCATCAGGATTACACTGCTCTCCCAAATATTAAAGTGCTGGGTGTGGCTGTTGGAAACAGGCCTCAAATCTAAGCTCTTCATATAACACGTAGATGTGGCGCTGAAATTAAATTTTCAAAATGTACAACATGAGACACAAAAACATGATGTGATTATTCTACCACTGAATTGTACTTCTACGACTTTAATTTTTATTTCAAATATGCCTTTTTACTTCATTCTTTAAGCTCTTAAAGGCATGCCGTGCGGATTCCACATGAGCACCAGTCCTATTACTAATCAATTACAGTGTGTGATGTTGCAACATCTGATTTGCAGAGATGTGTAACGGAACTTTATTTGTTTTGGAAATGTGTAAAAATTAAAATATTAAGGGCTGAATATATCTTTTTCTATTATTATTCATAAAGTGATCAATAAGAGTTAAAGAACAGAAGCTGGGTGGTAATGTAATGAGTAATGTATTAGTATGTAGGCGTTGCCACAGAATCTGGCCTCAGCACTTAAGCTAATTTAAGCTTACTTACTTAGCCATGTGTACATAGCTCATCTGCTAGTTGTGCAAATGCTTAAACTTTTTCACTGGCAATGCATGTGGTTTTCATTATCATAAAACTCTTTTACAAAGCTAACGCTCTTGCTGCCTGACAGACAAGAGCTCAGCCTGCTTCGTATGACTTTTATTCAGCCCTTTGATATCAAGAATGATAAATGCAGTCAGACTCTTGCACTGTGTGATCAGGTTTTAATTGCTTCAATAAAAAATAATGCTTAAAAGTCTGGACATTACAATTCTTTTCTAATGTGATGCTCAGTGTAGTTGAGTGTCAGGCAGATTTGTATTTTTACTCCATTAGTATGTAAGATCACTGCATAAGATGCAAGATATAGTCAACATTTTGATATTTAAGACGCCTTGGTAACCGCAGTCTGTCGTGGTTACAGTGAAGGTTATATGTTCTGTGTGAGCAGCAGCATTTGAGGAAAAGTATACCTTCGAGATACTATTTGCCCAGGTCATCTAAATGAATCATAATGAGTAAATGAAAGCATTATGATATCTCAGCATATGAGCTGGCCCATATAGTTACAAAGATATTCTAACTGTACAAAATAATAAACATTTAAACTCTAAAATTTATATTGAATTTGGGCAAAACTTTTAATTACTGAGACAAGGACATTTTGCTTAATTTTGGCAAAATTTGGAAGATGTTATGCACATATTAACCCCAAATCAGTAGAAAAGTAAAAAATCTGTTATTTGGAAATATTGCTGAACTGCTTGGCTGGGACCTTACAGATTCTTGCGATTTTGTGGGGAATGTGAGCTTATTGCAGTGTTTCCTAATTCAGTCCTCAGGCACCCACAGTCAGTCCACAATTTTGCTCTCTCCCAGCTTCCGGTAAGTGAGCAAAAACGTCGACTGTCTGTTGTTCTAGAGGACCGAACTGGGAAATACTGGCTTATAGGGTTGGTCCTTACATTCACTGTGGACGGACCTTACAAAGTCTGGCTGCTCTAAGGAATGTTTGATTTTGTTTGCCCCAATTCCTGGGAACAGGCCAATTTTGGCAGCACCTATTTCTAAGGGCAGCAGAGACACAGCTGTGTGACCACGTTCATCTCTCCTCTTTGTAAACAAGCTGATGATGACATCGTTCATTGTTAAGGACTAGAGGTACTTCCCTGGTGCGCGAATGATAGGGCAAATTAGTCAAAAACAGAAAATCAGGGCAGTTACATTAAACCCTTTGGAACATCCATGTTCCATTTAACACTCCTGGATATTATGGAGGGCACCTTTCAAGCTGTGGTTGTGAACTTGTACCAGGATTTTTCATATAAATGTAATTTCTAAGTTGCTATGACTTATTGTCACGTTTTGCACAATAGGTTACTTCCTAGTGTACTTCCAAGAGGATACATTTCAACAATGGTTTTTGAATAAATAAAATAATCCAGAAGTCACGGCTTAGTACAATGCAGATGTGAAACCCAATCTGGAATTTATTAAATATGCAACTGAGCCCTTTCGTTTTTCTTCATTTCTGGGCCAGAACTTAGGTTCTGTTGTTATTTTATATATACTGTATAAACATATTAACTGTAAAGGCCCTTAACATATATATAAATTTAGTGTGCACTGGAAGACATATATACATATACAGGACTTTGATGTTATTGGTTGCATTATTATTATGTCTGTGTGGTCAAACATTATCTTAAAAGTTTAGGATTAGCAGTCTGTTGTGAAGGCAAATTGAGGAGTCAAAGGCAGTTTCGGCATTTAGAAAGTGAAAGCATCAGTGTTAGTTCTAGTTTCAGATTGGTAACAAGAAACTTATGACCACATTATGATACCTATGTAGACACACACACACACACACGCACACACACGCAAACAGGTTTGTAATTATATCTTTGTGGGAACTCTCTATTCATTTCAATGGGCATAACCCTAATCCCAACATGATGACCTTAACCCCCACCCAGCCCTAACCTTAACCATAAGCAACCAAACAAATCACAAGACTTATGGCATTTTTAGTTTTTTTATTACATTCACAGATCTTTGTGGGGACCTGAAAAATTATCCGCACAACGTCAAAACAACAGGTTTTTATTATTGTGGGGGATATTTGGTCCCCACTATGTAATATAAACTTAATCCACACACACACACGCACACACACACCAGTAGAGTGCAAGCCCTGGATTCCCTGAGTAAATGCTGAGTTAACGCTTTTGATAAATCCAAATGGTGTTTCACTGACAAAACTGAATATATAGTAGGACAGTTAGTGTTATAGGGGAGACTCAAAACATTAACCTCAACACAGATTGTAACAAACGCCCAGTGCCCATCCATTGCAGTGCCTGCTCCGTTTTCAACTCAGCTGGCTTCTGTATCCATCAGCCTATGGCTGAGTCAGTAACAGCCAGCTGGGAGCATAGTGTCAGAGTTTAGGCTGCTGTGATCCCAGCCCCCTCCTGGACACAGGACTTCTCAGCCCACACAGTGCTCACGAAGCCCATCTTTGTGGTTTCCCTTCAGGAAGGAAACCCCCTCCCTCATCGAAACGGTGTTACCAAAGGCCTTACCTTTGTGCTGCCCTCACAGATTTGTGAGAGATAATCAAATCAGTGTTGGGAAAAATCTGATTTGATCCCCTCCATAAGAACCAAAAAGGTCAGCAGTAGTTGTTAAAAATGGAAGGAGCCTAATAATGAATTCAACCTTTATTCAATCAATAAAAATTTATTCTCCTGTATTAGACATAATATCGCATTTTCCATTAACCCGCTGGGCTTGACATGAACTGTATTGTCAAGTATGGCAGGTTTATAGTAAAGGAACAAACCCCCTGTCTGAAAGTAATTTCAGGGTGTATCTCACAGTGGTGAGGATCAAACAGTACATGCACAAGCTGAGAGTGAATAACAGAAAGGGGTATTTCATCTTTGGTGATATAATTTCTTTATTGGATCAGATACCCCATGTCCATTAATTGTACCATCATCACACGGTGTATACTCTTACTTAATGTATTACTTAACCAAAAAATCAGTGTTAGTTATGTACTGATCCCATGTTCATTCATCATTAATCAATCATAATGGTTCATATATTTCATGCAGGTAATATACTTGATCGCTCATGAGAGTTTTGTTTACGCAAAAATGTTCTGAGGGCAGAAGGAGAAATGGTTCAGGAAGATGAACAAACAAATAAAGGAGGTGGGACCAAGACATCTGATTGGTTGGTCCCACCTCTTCTTGTTGCTTAGACCCACTTCCACTACAATCTGATTGGTTATCTCTCTGAACAAATCATTTTTCCTTCTGCCCTCAGAACATTTTTGTGTGAGCAAAACTCCCACAAACTATTTGTTCATGATTTGTACTTGAGTAGTAACTGAGTTGCTACCCTATAAGTGTTACCCTACAAATTACCATGGAATCTGTTATCCTGCATGTTTTGTCAAAAAGGTTTACCATTTGTAATGACCTAAAGTCCAAAATTGATCATGCATTTACTAGCCATTTTAAGACATTTGTCACCACAAGGCAC